CATCTAGTTCATTGAATATTATAGTGGAGTGATTTAGACCGATCAGTTATAAATAATGTGCATGCAGTTTTTGTAGGAAATTCTATAACAGAAAAAAAGCCATTCTTTCAATTCTTCACATTCGTCCGATTTTTAGTTCTAGTATATTCTTCCATTTCTTCTGATTGTTACTTTATGATGACTGTTCGGGGTGTTTTTTTTTCGGTTTCTTCCATTTTCCAGGTTCTTTATATTCTTCGCATCCTGCGACTGTTTGGCATGCTTTGTTTTTGCTGATTCAGTGTTTTAAGTTCCAAATTTTGTCTACTCAAATGCTTCAAAATTCATCTCTGCAAATTTTGGATTCTTCAGGTTCGCCAATCTCGACGACAAACGACTTCTTTAGTCCTTTAAAGATCCTTAGTTTCCCTAGACTCCTCGCGCCCTGCGAGTATTTTGGATGCTGTCTGATTTTTCAGTGTTTTCAAGTTTATAATTCTTTCCGCAATCCATAAGGATTTTAGAAATTTCAAATTCTCCTAATTTTTCAAAATATTTTATCCTACCTAATTCTCCAGTTTCAGATGTCACAGATTATTAAATTTGTATCCCAAATCTAGATTCTTCGGATTCTGCAAACAGCTTTTTTGAGTTTTTAAAGTTCTGTAATTTCCCTCTCTTCACACTCTACGACTATTTCAGATACCTACTAGAATCTTTCATACTATTCACTGTTCCAAATTCCTTCGATTTGTAAATATGTTGGAAATTAAGATCTATTAGATTAGATTCTTCAGATTTTTCCATTACCTTAAATTCTATGGATTCTTTAAATTTCTCAGATCCATGAGATTCCTTAGGATTTTTAGTTTTGGCGAATCCTATTTTGAAGGTTGTTCAAATTCTTCAAATTCTGATAATATGAAACGCGAAAATGTATAATAATTCACCGTTTCTACAATACTAGACGAATGAATATACAAAGAAACTCCTCAATTTACTAAGTTCTGTATGTTCTTAAAGTTCTTCAGATTGTCCAGTTTCTTTAATTTCGCTAAACTCCAACTCCAAGTAGCTTCTTAGGATTTTAAGATTCTTTATATTCATTTTGTTCATTCTGTCACTGTTTCGGACACTTTTAATTGTTCTTAATTAATTCAGTATTCTTCATTCATTTCTTCGGAATTCTACAAATTCATGATTGATTAGATTCCTCAGATATTCCGATTATTCGAATCCTTCCAATTCTTTAAATTTTTAGATCCATGCGATTCTTGAGATTTTTCCGTTTCTTCGAATTCTTCATATACCTATCATCTGGATTATGAAAATTTCATTTGTTTCCCTCCCGTTTGACGGTTTTGCGATCTTAGAGTAAAGGAAATTCAAGGAAAATCATGATAACATTCAATTTACCTTGCGTCATTTTTATTAAAACTTTTGCAGGGTGGGTCAAATTCGTGGCTTACAATTGAGATCTCAGTAACGATGAGAGATACAGTGTAGGTTAAAGAGCCTTTTTGTGACTAAAAAATTGTATCTGCAATTTTTGAAAATAACTGAGATATCACCGAAAGTCTGAAAATGTCAAATTTGGTTTTCATTTTCTCTAGCTTAAACGATCGGCAATGGATGGTTCCCGTTTTGAAGTATCTGAATTTCCATAACGTTTCCATAACACACTAGACGTAGAAGCTACACCCTTCTTATTTTTTATAGGCGCCATATTGGATGACACTTTTACATAAATTTACATGAAAAATCAAATGTTTTACATTCATTTCTTAACAAATCATCCGCGGATAACTAGATGTTGCTGAATCAACATGGCTATGTTGGCGATGCATTCAGATAAATTTCTTTTTTTGTCCTTTCTTTCCGTAAAAATCCAATATGGGGCCCATAAAAATAAGATCAAGCGTGTTATGGAAATGCTGATAGGAGATTCAGATTCGAAAATAGTGCCTATAGAAGGTACTAACGGGAACCGCCCATTTCCGACCGTTCAAGCTAGGGGAAATTTTCATTTTTTCGGTAATATCTCGGTTATTTTTAAAGATATTTCAAAAAGTGCAAAAGCGTTTTTTTAGTCACAAAAAGGACAATTTTGCCCACAATTAACATACACTGTATCTCTCACAGTTACGGAGATCCCAATGGTGAGTCACGAGTTTGAATCGCCCTGTACATTGTCCTGGAAAGTTTCTCTGGTTCTTCAAATTCTTACATTTGGTACCACGTTTCGTCGATATCAGGATTTTGTCGCCCCCCCGCCACTTTTTAATCAAAAATTACAAATTCTCTGGTAGGTATGCGCTATGCTTGCAGATAAAAATTATGTGACTAAATTTGGTGTGCGTGAGGAGAGGAGACTATTTTCTGATGAGATAATCTTCATTTCGTTTCTTTGCATGTACCTTGCCACTAGTTCCGACGCTTTGAATGTTTCTTAATTTAGTGTTCTCACTTTCATCTCTTTCGTTTAATCGAATTCTTCATATTCTTATGATCTGAATTGCGAAAATTTATCAAGTTTATTTAACAGGGAGGGGGGTAAACATGCGTTCTGCTCTTTATGGTATTCTAATGAAAGGTCTCATCGAAATAAATTGGTTTGTACAAACTATAACTTTCTTGCGCGGATCCTTTTCGAGATCAGTGGATGACCCATGTTATTCTAATTGAAGATCTGAACAAAAGGAATTGTTTTCTAGCAATTACCGCTCTTCTTTCTGACCCCTTTTCAAAAGGGGGATCTGGTTTTATCCTTCACGTCGAAGGAGAGTACTCACAAAGGGAGGGAAGAACGCCTAGAGGAGACACATCTACTGGCCATGTATAAACTTAATTGTGAATATCTCGAAAATACTGGAGGAAGGTACCTACAAAGGGAAAATGCAATATTTCCGAGAATTTTTCCAAGAGGTTGATTCCTCCATCCATAGATTTTGAATGTAAGCCCGGCGGACTTTAAATGTTTATGTGTATCGACTGTAAAGAGGGCCTTCCCCATTAATCATCTGCCATCGATAAATATAGCATGCTACTACCTTATAACCCAACCATTTACTAAGCTATTTCGGTAAAAATGCGCTTTATCTGCACAAGAATTGTACAATAATTATGCTTGTTTCTAATTCTTCAGATTCCTATTGAAAATTTATAATTCAACTGGTTTTCCATTTCGGCGATCTTAGAAAAAAAGAAGTTCAAGGAAACTCACGATGTTTGTCCATTTTCAGCGAGAAAAACTTCTCTTAGGGTTCTTCATATTCTAACATTTCGTTCAATTGTTCTTTTTCATCTAATATCAGTTTAGTTCTTTCGATACTTCTGAAGAAAGAACTGTTTGTTGAAGGAAGTAATCAAGGGAAATGTTCAGGGAGAAAGGCAAAAAGGAAAAAGCAGAGGGTTGGTTGACGACCTGAAGGAGGGAGAAGAAGGTTATGAAGGAGTAAAGAAAAGAGCAGGGGATAGAGAATCGTGGAGAAGAGGCATTAGCAGAAAACTAATGATGATGAACTGTCATTCGAAAGATTTTTGTTAAATTTTAAGTTTCTGACTATAGCATTTACCATTCCTATGTTTTTTCGTTCTCGACAGACGGATAGACAGATGGACAGAACCATCACATAAGGGGAATTTTTTTTCTTTCCAAAAATTCCCCTAAAAAGGTAAAATAAATAAAATACTTAGATATTGAAACTTTTAAATTCATGAACAGTCGAATCCAATGTCTTCTTAGAGCCTTGAAAGTAATTGAGCATCCCTTAAGTCTCGGCAGAGTACATTCGCTATAACAGCCTGTGAGGCGAGCGTCGAACATTGTCTTAAAGACGCTTTTTTTATTGAAAGCTATGGAAGAACTCGTGTTAAAATAATTTAGAATGGACCAATCTTGTTTTACCTAATTTAATTAGGATCCTTAATAAAAACTATAAATTGAACTGCTGCACTTTGCAAACAAGTAATATAAAGACCGTCTTAAGAGAAGGAAACAAATTAAGCTCCCGCAACGAATCCTTCCAAATACACTTACCGTGAAAGTGAAATTTTTTAGAGAACAACACGCGGAAATAATAAATGGTTATTTATGACTGTGAAATAGTACTTGACATTTACTGATATTGCTGCTCGTTTTTCACATACCAACGTAAAAGCTCGGAATCTCATTTGAACTATTTTGAAATTACGTATTTGGAAGTTTACCTATTGCGATTTGGTAGAACCGCGTCCAATAGAAATGACAGTAGTACCTAGCTCTTTATGGCGTTAAAACCATTCAGAGACGGTTCATTTATCTTTCGATCACACGATAATCGTACACATTTTTCGAAAGATCGCAAGGTTAAACCGAATCGTGGCGGCTTTAAATAACAAGGGAAAAACAAACTCAGAAGCTTATTACGTTCGAGGCAAAATCGAGTGCTTTTAACGACAGATGCAATATCGTAAATCTAAGTACCCTTATTGTCTTTTGTCTTGATATCGTGCAGATCGGTAGAAGTACATTATATATACGCGCAGTGGTAATCAGTGGTAATCACCAAAGTGGTAATCAAGCGGCCCCGAGTGGTAATTACGATGTGGCCACCCAGGATCGGCATGCGCCAAACGCTTTCAACCTTATTAAACAATCATTTACAACTTCGCCACATTTACCAGTCAATTAAGAGAAACTGTGGCTTAGATTTTATCGGCGCGTGTGAAATTTCCATATTCGAATTTTTTCTTGGTACAATATCGCGAACAACGACGACCCCCGCGATAAACTTTGGAATCATTAATTATATGGAGAAATCGAATAGGAGGTGATTGTTAATGAAGCAATTTGCCAACTAATTCCGTAATTTAAAATCACAGTAGGCGATTAAGATTGCTTATGTGTTTTAGCATTGTTATCGTCGAGCGGGGGCAAACAATGTAACTACTTATGGAGTTTGTCTTGGAGCTTAATGTGGAGCACGCGCCAAGTCGCTGTTGTTATTAGTTTCATAAACACGATTGATACCATGCCGGTTTTAATTAATTTTTGCACAAACACGAATGGGGGAATTAATGTGGTCAACGGACGGTAGAGAGCTTGCGATCTTAATTAAATGTGACTGTAGCGTAACTGATTGTAAAGTACTCACCAAAGGAGAATAAAAGGCCGAGCTGTCTACTCCTATGCTAGGGTAAGGGTTTTGATCTGTCGAAGGATAAGGGGTACCGTAAACGCCTACGCTTCTCGGGTACTGTAGAGCTGCTAGGCGCGCCGAGTCATATTGGCACGAACATACACTTTGTCCTGTTACTGGATCTGTCACTAAAGGTCTTCCCGATTCGCAACATTGCGTTGGTCCCGAATTCGACGTACCTCCGGGCGAAAGGGCGCCCCCGGGACCACCGGCCGAACCACCTGGACTAAGCGAGCCACCTCCAGACGCAGGTGAGGACGCGGAGTTTGTCGTCGTTTGACCCGAGACTAATAACTGAAACAGAAATAGAGCCGATTTAGTGCTTCCGTGATGAAATTGATTTAAATCACGGGAAGTAAGGGCGATTAAAAGGCGATATTTATATATTATATACTTATTTTAATTGAAAAAATCTTGTGGTACATCTGAAGGATGCCCGATGCTAATTTGACAGGATCTGACTTTGCAAATCGCTCATATAAATTCCCGTTTAATTACAACCTCTTTGTGAAAATATCCTGTCAATTACACTAAATTTATATTAACAACGGCACCGAGGCCATGAATTCGCTTTGACTCCAATAAAAACAGAACAAATTGTGAAATTCCAGATTTATGGTTTATAGGTATTTTGTTACATTCGTGAGGAGGCGTCTTTGACACGGCAGAAGAATGTAGTTGTTACCTATAGATGGGAAGTGAACCGAATTGGTCAGAACTCATTGCGTTCTCTACGTTCCAAAAGAACTATGCATCTAATCAATTTGCACCTGAATTTCGATCAAAATAGCTGTTTATGACCTGCCCGTAGGAGATCCTTAGAAAGGAAGTCATAAAACGGGGGAAAATACCAGGAAAATTTAACTAATGACAAAGAAGGCGAAGAGTATGGAGCAGTACACAACGCCACTGCCATTTTTAGACAAAAACCGATCAAACTGTCCATTTCTTAAGCAATGTTGTAAGCTTCAATTATTGTCTACATTTATTTTCCTTATACATTATAGATAACCATTTTTGGCAAAACGATAATTAGTTTACTTAATTAGCTATAGGTCAGGACCACAAAATTCACAGTTCGCCCCTGAATTTCTGATAATATACAACAAAGAGTGTCCCAGATCGAGTGGGTAGTAAGTAGCGTTGGGCAAAAAAATCGATTAATCGATTATAATCAAACGATAATCGATAATCGGGTTTGATTATTCTATTAAATTAATCGATTAATCGATTATTTGATTGATCGATTATGTGATTAATCGATTATTTGATTAATCAATTATTTGATTAATGGATTATTTGATTAATCGATTGTTTGATTAATCGATTATTTGATTAATCGGTTATTTGATTAATCCATTATTAAGTAAATTTTAATTGATTATTATTAGCTGGATTATCAGTTTACGCAAAAAGGAGCACTCACAGCTCACAAGTATTATTTTATTTTATAGCGGATGTTAAAACGTCACTTTAAGCAGCTAAAATGAATTAAGATTGTATCATCAAAACTAAAGCACACCTCATCGGAGAGTAAGCTGCCTAATCATTTATTTTTATTTATTTATTTTTATTTTTGACCTTCATTTTCAAATGGGCAGGGTTTCAGCCAAGGCTGTTCTACCCACCAACCCACTATGCATTTGCAAATATCCATTCCCGAACCCGGATTCGAACCAGGGACACTTTGTTGATTATTGATTAATCGATCTGCCTAATAATGAACGATTTGATGAAAAGAGTAATGGAATTATTTTTTATTTTTATTATTAAATAATTAACGTATTAATGCATACAAACAGATATTTATCACTCCTTGTATGTGACAATCGACTTTTGATTAAACGATTAGGCGATTAATCGATTATTTGATTAATCGATTAATCAGTGTAATCGATTATTTTTCATAATCGATTATCGATTATTCAAACCCGTAATCGCCCAGCCCTAGTAGTAAGTTATTGTTAAAAATACGGAGTTAGGCTAAATCTCGGGTTAAATTGACAAAGTCTCAGCTGAGCAAAATTATCCCCATTATCATAAAAAACAAAAATACGTTCAAATCACATCTAAAGAGCTTTCTGTCTGGGAAAATTTTAGTGTGTAAGATTATCCTAGGACTAAAGCCATTCTATTAAAGAAATTCTTGGAGTATTTTGGGGAGTTTCAGAGTGGCGGTTTGTCAAAAACTCTTGAACTAATTACTGGTGTAATTCAAGGGGAGATTTTTATTATTTCTACGAAGAACGCTCTAAAAAAATGTTTGTTCAATTTAAAGAGATTTCAAATAAAATTTGTGTCCTTATGCAGGGAAATTTTGAAGGAGATTCCTAATAAGGCAATGAGGAAGAATGCGGTTAAGAGAATTGTTAGGAGGATTACCATAGAAGTACTAAAAAGTAATTGTTTTAAAGTGCCGCCTTGATTTACTTCTAAATTCCTTAAACAAATTTCCAAGGATGTTTCAACGGAAGTGATTTGTTAAAGAAACTTACATGTGTGGACATAATACAGTTTTCAGTGCGTTAATGTTGTGTAGAAGTGCACGTGTGCTTACAGCCCTTTGAATTTTCTTTCGAAATTGGTTTCTAGTCTATAACTTTTGATTGAGAAGTCTGATCGAAAAAGTACGAATTGTTTTGGATTCTACGCACCGAAATTAATAAGAAAAAGTGTTTTCCTGAGAAATTTTGGTGCAGTCGATTTTTGGTAAAAAAGGAAGGTTATACACTGCCTTTTTTTGAGCCTCGAAAAAAATTGTCTCAGATTGACCCGAAAAAAAATTTTCTTATAGAATGTAGCCTGTAGAATCCATAATTTCAAACAGTTCCAAGATTGGGCTACTGGTTCAAAAGTTACAGTCCGTGTGTTGTTTACTCTGCGAAAAAATGGCAAATAGGTCAAGAAAAATATTGGAAGTCGCTTTTTTATACACCGTGCAATCATTAAAAATAATAAAAAAATCATTTCAGAATACATTAGTATTTTATTGTCCATATTAACTCCATTTTCATTTTTCAAAAAAGTATTTAATACAGTTTGTAATTCGAAGTATTAGGGCCAAATGGTATTAACTCCGTTTAATTGACTTTTTAATAACTTTTTTGGCAAAAATAATGAAAATTTTTGAAAATTAGAAAAGGGAAAATTTAAGGACATCCATATTTTATTTTTTAGTTTAATTTTTTTTTTTAATAGTTATTAAATAAATATTTTGTATTAATTTTAATGTCTTATAAATTTTCAAATCGCTCTGCTGTAAAATTTAATTTTTTTGAGTTAATACAGTTTGGCTCTCAGGTACAGACATAGCTAATCAAGTTCTTTATGAAAATCTCCGAACATTCCAAAGGTACCCTTAAGAAAATTTTCCAGGAAGATTTCCAAGAAAACATCGAAGACGAAAATTTATAAAATGATTCCGAATAGAATTTCTAATTTAACACATTGTCAAGGAGATTTTCTGCAAATTGCTCAGATAAACTTCTACGGTGTGTCTTAAAGTAGGTGCCGAAATGGGTAAAATAGGTGTATTTCAGAGCGTTTGTTAATACGCTACGAATCCGACGCAGTTTTTCTTTAGTGCGGAATGAGGAATTCGCTCGAATTTGCTTCCGTAGTCAAATTAAGTGTTTATTAATTTAGAGCTGCAACTTGACAACTTTCAGGTTCACGTACGCACAGACAGATATGTTAAGTAATACTAATTCTTCGTATAGGTATATTAGAACGTAACTTCTCAGATTAACACCTTTTTGGAAAATTTTGCACAGGAAATTTCTCTTTTCCTGAACCACCCTGACGATTCGAAACGATCGTTCGAAAAACAGAACTAATTCCAATTTTGCACACCGAAAAATCTAAATTCCCTATTCGGTAAAATCTTGCGATCTCTCCTCTGCGGCTGAGAGACTTCATCTATAATATCTAAGCTAAGCGAAGGGCCAGTCAAAATCGACAATAAATCAACAAAGTATAATGTAACTCTGATTTTTTAGTATATTATTGGACCCATTAGGGTAGGTGTTTGCTCTATATCTCCTAAATGCTCTAAACTATGCATTTTTTGACGAACGCCATTATATACGTTTTTGATTAAATGTGTGACTAGTTATGCTCAATCTGAGCTCTGTAGTTAGTTACCGAATTACTGCACTTAGAAAATATCCCATTTTTTTTCCAAAAAGTGAAAATTATAGCTAAACCATTGATTCTTGTTGTATGCACTTTAATTTGCTTCAAATTAAGCGCAAAGTGGGGTATGTAGGCCTATCAAATAAGGTAAAATTTCTCCAGAAATGTTCCAAATCCTTTCTATCTTTTTTTTTGGCGTGGTAATGAAAAAGAAGGCATATTTAAAAAACGGTGAAATGTATTTTAATATGCAGTGATATTTATTAAGAACTAGACATAGGGATTTATGTGTATTGTTTTTCCTTATGTGTACTTTTAAAAGACAAAATCTCTTCTAAAGGGCGTCTAATTTTATGCAACCAAAATAAGAGATAAAGATCTGGCTGTCATATTAATTAATTTGTTACTTTGGCTTCACAGAAAATAATCTCTTACGCTCCTTAAACTGTTACCGGCACTATACCAATTGATAATATCAACTTTTTCTTCAGTTGAATAAATCGCATACGAAGGAATATAAAGATACGGAAGCCAAAGCAACAATATTTAAATTAATTAATGTAACAGCCAGATCTTTATTTATTTTAAGAAGTTATTTTTGTTGCATAAAATTAGGAACCCTTCAGAACAGATTTTGTCATTTAAAAGTAGGCATAGGGAAGAACAATACACATCCTATGTCTACTTCTTAATAAATCGCACTGGATACATAAGTTATGAAAATTGCAAAAATCAATCCTCTTCAAAGATGAATAAGGGCAGCGTTCTGGCACGGTTCCTCAGAGAATATTTGAGCCCTACTTTCAGGGAAGTGTAGCCACCTTTGCATCGCTTCTTGCCGGCCAGATTCTCAGCACGAAAGCGTAAATCGTTGAGGGTGTTTCGTCTTCATCATATAGGGCAACTAGGCACGTGTCGCCGCGGCTGCCGTGACTTGGTGCGTGGCATCTGGGTCGAGAAAAGCGATTGCTTGGTCCACTAGGGCTTGATTCTGTCTTAAGTGGTACCACATTTTCATCTTCCTATTCCAGAAGAGGGCAGAGGTAGTGTCGCATCCAGTAAATGCGTGGACGATCAGTTCAAATCCAGGTGGGACCTCCAGATTCGAGTTTCAAGAGGCCACAGAAATCAAACGCACCCACAAGTGATCCGACAGTTTA